AAACAGGCCGCCGGAGTACCAAATTCTTCGTATTATTGAAATACCGAAGTATCGAAATACCGAAATTCCCAAACCATCGGTATTTTTCGATATTTCGATATTATCGAAATATCGTTCCCGAATTGCAGAAATTTAAAATACCGAAGCATCGGTATAAAAAAAATACCGATATCGTTTCGGTATTCCCGAATATCGCACAGCCCTAGCCCCAATTACTGCATGACTCACAAATATTTCAGTGAATTCAGTATTTGTATGTCTCTAGCTGTAGGCATATTTGAAACGGAAAGAGTGTGGGCTGATAGGTTTGAGAGGATTAGCAGCCGATTAGACGGATTAGACAGGACCGGGGAACGATAGAGGTTCCGTATACTACTCACGGTCAAAAATACTGTTCTAAAGTAGAGCAAAAGGACGGTATGTTTATGGAAATGGGGTACACGATCGCTGTACTTCTTCGCTGTAGGGCCCATAAGACCCCATGTTAAAGGTTACTGTACTTTGTGCCTCAAAATACTGAACCTTACTCAGTACAATGCGATCAGGCAGGCAAGGACTTGACCAGTGCGTACTGTGGTTGTTTTTTTTTTACAGTGCTTATTTACATGAGTGTACGGGGGGACATAAGTGTTACACGGAGGACAGTAGCGCTAAATGTCTAATTCGTGTGTTCGTAACTGACATAACACTAATTGATTGAAGCTAATTTTTGACCCATGACTTGCAGGTCGCCTGGCCAAAGGAAGTGCTTCTAGGAGCTGGGCTGTCAGCTGCTCAGGCAGAAGGGGCATATAACGAGGATGGTAAGAAAATTTATGACTGCATCTCAGCAAGGGGTTCCTCCTTTTCACTGTTATAAATTTCTTGGGATTTCCCGAAGATTCACTTTTCACCACTATTAGAAATTCCCAGAGGACACCGTTCTTAGTTATTTTGTGTGCGAAAACAGATGTTAAATCTTGAAGTTTTCGTTTCCCTAATAGAAAACGAAGGTCCTATTCTGTCCCTAGTTTGTTCCAAAGTTGTCCCTCAAATTTGTGAGGGACTAGAACGGGATTTCGCTTGTATTGAAATCCCTCCGAAGTTCCATTTTGGTGAAATCCCTCCGAAGTCCCTTTTCTCTCCCACCCGCCTTTTGGCGCCGTTCACAGAAGATAGAGAAGGAGGCTTCCTGGACAATTTTAAGTACGTCAGACGACATCAGATGGGCCGTAGATACACTATATGTGTGTTATGGGTACATACTCGAAGTAGTTAGAGACAAATAGGAGCGTTGTAGCGCTTTGCAGTACAGACTGGAGCGTACCCTCGGAGGGACTTCCGCGGGACTTCAGAAGCTGGGCATCTTCCAAATCCCTAAGTCCTGTTTTGCCCCCTTTTGGTACTTCTGGGGGATTTGGGATAGGACCTACGGAGGGATTTCAAAATTGGGACTCCGGAGGACCTTCGTTTTCTATTAGGGTGTTTCCAAGCTAAACTCGACACGTGAAATCTACTGAGTTCTTTGGGAAATCGCAAAGCACTTTGGCAATACTTTTCACGAGTGTTCCTCCGTGAAATCCCAGGATATTTTTTTTAACAGGGTATCGATTTGTCGCGTACACTGTCGGTCAATAATGACCAATCTACTGAAAATGACAGAAAATTGACTGACATTTGTAGAAAAGGTTTGTAAACTAATAAAAACCCGCTTATTGTAATATCACTGAGACTGTCTTCCGTGCACCAAAAACCGTCGTGTGTGACGTTTTGAATAATAATAACGCTGCATATCGTAGTGAAAGACAGTTCGGCTGTTGCTACTGAAAAGTTGCAACTGTTGCTAAAGCGGGATGACTCTGCACTGCAGTGGTAGGGTACTATTGCATTTACAGACTATCGACTCGAACTACATATTTCCCTTTACGCTTCGCTACAGGCAAGGGCATGAGTCTCTTGGACTATAAGAGCAGCATCCCAGGCGCGTTTTCAACGGATATGCACGTGGCCGCCGACCACTACCATAGATTTCGTGAGGACCTCCATCTAGCGAAACAGATGAAGGTACGTACATTTAGTATATTATTAGTGCCCACGCCAGCGCGAGGTCCATCACTGTTTCAAAAGGGATGGTGCACTTTTTGTGTCAAGTAATGCCGCTTTTGCAGGGAGCAGGTACTTGAAAATCCATCGATTCTACTTTTGCAGGTGTAGGATACTTTGTCCTTTAAATCGGGGCTGGCAGAGTAAATTAAATTGAATCATAATCCCTCGATAATTGTTCCCCTTATGAGGGCAAAATCTAAATGGGATGAATAAAAATGGGGACTTCATTACTCGGCAAAAATTTAATCCGGTTTAGTATGTTCGGCTAGTATGTGACATACTAATCTGTGGTGGGTTACTCCTCTAATCTAAGAAAAAAAGAATACCGACTCGGCCAGGGTCATCAGATAACAGAACATTTAATACCGATGATTTTAATGGAGGAAAAGAATTTTTATTGGACTCCGTGAATGCTCTTTACCGAAATAAATTAAAATGGATCAGCGACCCGTAGATCATCACCGGTAGAAAATGATGCAGCTCGTAGAACATACTACAATCGTAGGTTGAACACGTTGCCGCACCCAACTAAGAAGGGTTGGCGGGGACCCTGCGCGCGTTGATACTAAACCAATTATATCTACCCCTTTAAGCCTACCTATATGTACGCCACACGACGTCTCGCGTAACAGGCTTCGCGATATCTCACGAAACACTGTTACGCTGCGACGCGCCTGGCGCACATATATATAGTCCTTCGGTGACACCGATGGAATTTAGTGGATAGCGTCAGAAATGTGGCCTTATGACCCCAAATCGTATGTCCCTGCAGCGACTGTCCTGTCAGGGTTAGCACTGCTAAGTTTGCAAAACACGACTTTGGCTAAACAGGAAAAGATTACATTTAAATTCCCGAATTTGTGAGATAGGGTATTGCCATGAGAGTATAAGGGGATGGAGAGGCAACGACGGGCACTCCAAGGCCTGCACGGCCAAATGTGCGGCTCATTTTCTCCTAAATGCTTCCACCTATTTAAAATCCGAAAGCTGCATCGGATAGAAGAAGGTCGATTGTATGGCCGCGTAAAGTTTCAGCTCGATCCGTCACATCCTTCTGCCTCAACGCCGCCCTGTCCGCCGCGCCGCTGTCATTCGGCAGGGCTCTGGGCGGGTTCGGGACGCCTGCGCTAAGTCGCAGATAATGTTCCGATCACAATTTACTCAATACAGCAAAGTGAGTGTTTCTTATGATTGATATCGGCACAAAATGTCAGAAGATGATTTTTGAAAACAACTAATTTGTAAAGCAACTGCCGCCAGCCTAGGCTCCGACCATGGTCAACATAACCCCCAAAGGCACCACCTTTGTTATTGTTGTGAAATCGTATTTCAGCGGTCGGTAAGGTACCAAAATATCCTTAAAAATCATCTGATGCCATTCTGTACCGATATCAATCATAAGAAACACTCACTATGCTGTTTTGAGGAAATTATCAGCGGAACGTTTTCTGCGACTTAGCGCAGGCGTCCCGAACCCGCCCCGCGAGCCCTGCCGAATGACGGCGGTGCGGTGGACAGCGCGGCGTTGAGGCAGAAGGATGTGACGGATCGAGCTGAAACTTTACGCGGCCATGCAATCGACCTTCTCCTATCCGATGCTGCTTTCGGATTTTAAATAGGTGGAAGCATTTAGAAGAAAATGAGCCGCACATTTGGCCGTGCAGGCCTTGGCCCGCCCGTCGTTGCTTCTCCATCCCCTTATACTCTCATGGTACAGTGTTGCCCACTTACGCTGCACAGTGGGCTAGAATGCAAAAAAGAGATGATATAAGCATGAATTTTCTTTTTACGTTTCGGGCTTAAGCGACTAGTGGCCTTTATAGTGCAATGTTCAAGGATTTCAAAACGGATTAGTTTGTATCTTTAGCTGTAAATATTTTCCCTCAAATCTCATTTTGAAATCAGCTGTCATGCACTGCCGGATCAACAGCTCTAACCTAACTGTCTTATATTAACGTTTTTAGCCCGCCCTTCTGCTTTGAAAAAGCTATCCAGCGGGCTTTTGCAAACGACCTCGTGTCTGTCTGTGTGTCTGTCCTAGTGGGTCCCAGACGATGTGCTAGAGACTTGAAATTTTCAGGGAATCTTAAGGTCCACTCTCAGAGAACGAAACGCCTAAGGGAGACCGGGGCTACTTGACCAGGATTTTGCATTTGGGCCCTAGAGAACAGACCCGATGATGTAGGGACTTCGACATTCGCCCTTACTGTAGCCCCAACCTTCCTCTACTTAAGCTCCAGCCCCATTCCGCCATCGCGCATCTCGTTTTCGGCGTAATGTGAGAAATAGTTCAGCACTGCAAAGGGTCAAGGTACCCCATATGCGGGGCTACTTGAACACCCCCCGAAAATTCACAATAGTTGACTGATTTTGAACCCAAACCGTACTAAATAATAAAGTAAAAGAGTAATTCCATGATAAGGGACCGTACCCATACTACGTGACCAATTTTATATGTGGGTGGGGGGAGGGGTTCGGCAAAGTACTACGATCGGTCACGTTCTGGTAGAGCTCATCTCGGGCGAAAATTTCGTCCGTTTTGCTCTATATCTAACCGTTTAGGCGCTAGATGATCTTTTTTGACGAAAATAAGCTATGAATTGCCATAGTGAACAATAAGTTGTAGAAAAAGGCCTAAAAACCGCACGTTTTCTAAGCAGAAGGGTGGGTTGTAGTCGCGGTGCTTCACCGTT